ATGTATGCATACATACATATATGTATGTCATTTTTAAATTATACAATCATTTTATGATTATTTTAACTTCAAACAATCTATTGTTGTTGTTAAGTGCCATCAAGACTGTTCCAACCTAAGTGGCACTGCAGGTTAATGAGCTGGACTGCAAAGTCAGTTTGACCCGCAGGGTCTGTGGTTCAACCTCACCAAGTCACTCATAAAAACCCTATACAGTGTTGCTATGAGGTAGAACCGATTTGACTGCACTTAACAACAATAGAGTTTCCAAGGAATGGCTAGTGAGTCTGAACTTCTGACCTGTAGTTCAAACAGACCTTAAGATTCAGTGCTTTATCCCACAGCACCATACCAGGACTCCAAACAACCTACTAAAGCCTAGGAAACCCCATGCATGGGGCAGTTCTATTCGGTCCCTTAGCATTGCCATGAGTCAGAATAGACTCAGTGACACACAACGACATCAACATGTACCTTGTAACTGTGACTTAGAAGTCAGCTGCTAACCACAAGATCAGTGCATTGATCCCACTAGTTGCTTCACAGGGGAAATATGGGAGAGTCTGCTTCTATAAAAACTACAGCCTTGGAAACCCTATACAGTAGGTGTACTCTGTCCTGTGAAGTCGCTATGATTCAGAATCAACACAACAACAATGGGTTTGTTTATTGAGGTTTAAAACAAATCTTAGTGCTGTGAAATAGTACATTCCATATTGTTATTTTCCAGAGAACGATTTTACATGTGTTAAGTGAACCCTAGTGTCACAGTGGGTCAAGCATTGGACTGCTAACCACAAGGTCACTCGTTCCCATCCACCAGCCGCTCTGAGGGAGAAGGATGAGGCTGTCTCATCCCACAAGGATTTACAGTCTCAGAAACCCTAAGGAGACGTTCCATTTTGTCCTATAGGGTCTCTGTGAGTCCGAATTGACTCTACAGTAATGGGTTTTGATTTACCATGATTCAATTTTCTCTTCCAAAGTGAAGATAAATAATGATACCTTTCTTCATTAGGTTTGTTTTTAAATGGAATTAATATATGGAAATTGTTAAGAACAATATGTAACATGTAAATAATAAATATTTGCCTTTTTTGTAATTTCCGTCGCATCTCATGATTATGCATTGCAAATACAGACACTAAGCTAATACTGGCTAAAGAAATCCCTCTCCATTTTTTATGCTGTAAGTGGTATTACAAAATAAAATTAGAGTTAGTTGATTTTTAAAATTGAGTTAAATTTGAAAGATGTCTATTTTTGTTTGAAGGCATAGATGTGTGTATATGCTGGAGAGATCTCTCAGATGGATGAATTTTTATCTAGAACGATGACTCTTTTACCTAATGCTCTTAAGTTGAGACAAACTAGCCCATTTAGAGGCTCAGAACTGCTAGCTTTTTACAATGAGTTCGATGGTTAGGTGTCATGTTTCACTCCAGTAGATGATGTTTATCAATGTGGGCTTTTTTAACCTTGAAACTGAGACTGATGTATACAGAGCAGAGCTTGTAGATTTTTGCTGGTGCTATGGTGTCTGTGTGTGATCAGTCACATGGTTGTTAGGTTGACTTACTTAATAATAGACCCGCAGCTTGCAAAACTGTTCCCTGAGAAACACTGAAAACATTGTAACAGTACACTGATTCACTGATTCAGATGTTGGAAGAACTGTTTTTAAGCTGGGAAAACCCAGGGGGTAGTCCAGCCATTTTGCTCTCCCTTCCCATTGATGTTGTCCTTGAGGGCAGAGACCTCATTTCATCTGTGTGAACACCTCATCCCATACATACCCACCCATGCCGGAGAAGATCAGTGGTACACTTGTTATAGGAAGGTGTGAAGAAACATCTTGACCATTGCTGGTCTGTGACAGGAAAGCTTTGAAAAGTAGAATACTGTTTCTCACCATGCCCCACTGCTAGGAAATGAGATCATTTTAGATAATACAGTGATGGTGGTAATGATGATGGTGGTTTTGTGCCATCGAATCGGTTCCAACTCATAGCGACCCTGTATAGAGCTTCTGAGGCTATAAATCTTGACGGGAGCAGAAAGGCCTCTTCTTTCTCTCAAAGAGCAGCTGGTAGATTCAAACTTCTGACCCTGTGAATAGCAGCCCAACATGTAACCCACTGTGCCACCATGGCTCCATAATACAGTGTTAGAATTAAAAAATATATATGTATGTGTATGTATATAAAATATTTATGCTGTTTACATAATTATACATTTATAATTATAATGATAACAATATAAGTTGTTAAGTGCCTCAAGTCAGTTCTGACCCATAGTGACCCTGTACAGGGTTTCCAAGGAGCAGCTGGTGAACTTGAACTGCTGACCTTGTGCTTCAAACCAACTTTGCAGTCTAGCACATAAACCCACAAGCACCACACGAGCCTTATAATTGGGGTGGGATGGGGGTGGGGCTTCAAAAAGATTGTGGGAAAGTTCATTATCTTTTAATTCCATTTTCCACAAAATTTTAAAGCCCTCTCATATATATATATGAGAGGAATCCTGGTGTGGTGCTGTGGATTAATGCGCTGGACTGTGCGGTCACTTTGAGCCAAATGGTTGGGGGTTCAAGTTCATCAGGCACTCCTTGTAAACCCTATACGGGCTTGGTATGGGTTGGAACTGATTCGACGGCACTTAACAACAATTACAACACCAGCATAATGTGTGGTTAAGATAAAAATTGTGTAGGAAATCTGTGCATGACATTTTAGAAACCATAGTCTAAAACATCACTAAGACCCCTTTTTATTCTGAAATTCTTTATTGCATTTTCTGAATGTGTTGATAATCTAATTTTGATTTATAATCTCCTTTGATTTATATTTTTGCCATGCAAAATCAGAGAGAAAAACAGAGTTAGAACATGTTGGTCTCATCACTTGAAACACGGCAACGATTGTTTTTATTACTTTATTAAAATATGATGAGTTAATGAATTTGTTAAGTTTGTTGTTTTTAAGTGCTGTTAGTTGGTTCCGACTCACATCTACCCTTTGAAAGTGTTTCCGAGGAGATGCTGGTGGGTTTGAACTGCCAACCTAGTGATTAGCACTCCAGTGCTTATCTTACAGTGTCACACCAGGGTTTCAGTTTATTGTGGTTGTTGTTAAGTGCCGTTGAGTCGGTTCCAACTCATAGTGACCTTGTATAGGGTTTCCAAGGAAAAGCTGATGGGTTTGAAGCACTGACCTAGTGATTAGCAGTCCAGTGCTTACCTTACAGTGCCACACCAGAATTTGAATTTGTTGTTGTTGTTGTTGTTAAGGGCTGTTGAGTTGATTCCGACTCACAGCAAACCTGTATAGTGTTTCCATAGAGCAGTTGGTGAGTTTGAACCACCAAACTTGCAGTTCAGACAGACATTATGTTCACTTGTTTATCCTACAGCGCTACACCTGGTTACGTTGGGCTAAATGATAACTACTAGAAGAAAAATACAGTGTACTACATAACAATGTAGTTTTACTTACAGAAATGTTAATGGAAAGGGAGAGCTTTCTAAAAATCAACATCCTTTTTATAAAGAAAAGCTAGGAATAGTCAACATCAATTGTTGTGTGTGTACTTTAATTTCTTTTATTCTTTTCTCCTAGGTTTCTGGTGCAGTTCAGACAGGACAAAGTATGTGTGAAGTTTATTCAGGGAAACCAGAAAAATGGGAGTGTCCCAATGTGCAAACGAAAAAACAACCGGCTCCTTGAAGTCGCTGTCCCTTAACTGACGCCTGCTCTTTGTGCTCATGGACTTGTTTCTTTGTAATAGTGCAATTGGAGTTACGTTTTGTTGGGGGGTTTTTGTATGTTTGGAAATTGCCAAAGGCTAACTGTGCTTGGTAGTCCCTTGGCAAAAATAAAAATATTTGACTAATCAATTTTTATTACTGGGATAGTTTTAACCCTTAAAGTACATGTTCTGTCCAAGGATAGGATTATAGAAACTAACCGAGTCTAGGCCATGCCATGTGTTCTGTTTTTTAGTCATCATGTTAGATCTGTGTACCATAAACCAACATGTTACTCATAAATCATTCATACATCTAAGTATAGAAAATGGTCTTAAAAGACAGTGCATTCATTCATCAAATATTTATTGAGTGCCTATTCTGTGCTAGGCACTATGCTCCATGGTATATAACTTTTTTTTTTTGTCTTGAAGGCCATTGCATTATGGCTGGTTTGTGTTGATTTAACTACGGCTTGAAAATGTTGAGACCAAAACAGTGACTTTTAATGATTGTTAAGAACCCTGTAGTATGATCCTTAGCAATATGTACTTCAAGGAAGGGCTGGTCCTCAGAAGGAGTCAAAATCTATGACTGGGTACAATGCCTCCACTTGTGGTTGCTCTTTGAAGAAGGAAAATTGACATTTGAGCAAGACTGTTAACTTGTTTAGATCGCTCATAATTGCCTTTAATAGTAGAAAACAGAGCCATTCTTATTTTAGAAAAAAATGACAGAAGCAGTTCATTAAGATTATATTTTCCTGTGCCGGGTAACATCAGATATAATCTTAGGTATGCTGTTATCTGCAGTGTTGTTCTCACCCAGATTTGAGTAGGTGTTTTAAACAGCTAGAGCAATAAAGGGCTGGAAGTCTCTCAGATAGTGGCAGGTGTTCTGTACGATGTGCAATATAACATCCAAGATCTTTTTGAAAGTTTTATTTATAATATACCTTTTTGTATGGGAAATAATTGGTACAGGGTGCATAGTTTAATCAAGGATTTGAAGTAAGTTTGTGTTGATTTGCAGGGCTGTTCTTTCTTAATTTTGTTTTCCTCAAATTTCCAATAAAAATTATTTTGGAAACTGCATTTTAAACTTTGGAATCAAATTGTTTCTTATTTGGGAGGATAATGTATATACATTGGTATTATGTTAAATAATAAAATTGCTCTAATTTGGTGCCACTTTCTGGATCATAACTATTTTTGTATTTCAAGCTATTTTCTTATGCTATAGGAAATGTATAATCACACAGAAAGACTTTACAATCCAAGCATTATATGTTCTCTGTGTAATTGAATTCCATTTATCTTTTATAAATCACAAACATTCATTGAAAGCATTTTCTGAGGAACGACTTTTTAATTTTTATACTTAAAAAAGTATTCACATAAAGAACTTCTTGGAAGCTTTTGTGTTTACTGGCACAGGTCAAAGGCATAGTTACTTTCGTACAGTCTTTTCTGACATGTGCTTGCAGTAATAGATTTCTGGTTCCTTACATAGGTAAGAAATTTTAACGATTTTTTAAATATGTAATACATTCATTTTATCCAACAAATGAGGCACAAATATACAATAAAAATTCTCCACCTCGTCGGTCATCTAGTATTCTCCCCCTCCAGAGATAACTGTTGTTTTAGCTGTTCTTGCATTACTTCATGCATATACTTGCAAGAACATATAAAAATATAGATTATGATCTTCTCCTTTTTGGTAAACAAAAGCTGTTATATTGCATACAGTATTGTTTTCATTTAGCAAAGTGTCATAAGACGCTCTTCATTCTTTCTACAGCTTTGTTGTCATTCATGGCATGGATGCACTAGCATGTGTTTAGCAGGTTCCCTCCTGGTGATTATCTTTTGGGATGTTTCCAGAATGGAAGGTTAAGCCCAAGATGGAGAGGATGTAGTTGTGACATTTCCTCAAATACCTAAGTACAGACAGTTCTTTGTGATGAATAGCAGCAATAGCAGTTAGCAACAATATATTTCCAACAGAGAAACTATTTAATCACAAATTTCATAGTCAGTGTTGTAATGCAATGATTTAAAATACATAACGTCTACAAACATATTTTTAAATAAGAACATTTTACATCTAATTATCAATGGCAGTATTGTCATTGAAGTATTCAATATGAACCTCATTCTAGATGGATTTTGACTTTGTTGTTATTACAAGGTTTAGGCCATTTCCACTCATAAGTGACCTCATGAGTTAGAGAACTGCCTCATAAGGTTTTCGTAGCTGAATTCTCTATGCAAGCAGATCACCAAGTAGTTTTGCACAGCGGTCTGTTTTAACAAGTCTTCCAGGTGATTCTGATGTACACTCAAGTGTAAGAACCATTGGTCTAGAACCTGTCTTCACTTGCACACAACATCTGGTACTCCCCAGTACCGGACAAGAGGTTACTGATCACTGTAACATCACCCTATTACAGTGGCTGAGCCCGGACTTCCTGTCATTGTCTTGCAGTGGAGAATTAAAGTAACTCCAGAATGCCCATGTACCCTGGCCAGGTCACACAGCTCTGACTTTTGCCACTTAGTCCCCTAATCCCTAGAGGCTAGACTAAGAGATGTTGTGTTTGAAGAGGTGATGGGTACCAACAATCAGACCTTAACTTATGCTACAGACTTTCATGGATGCTACAGGGCAAGAAACATGGAAATTGATATTCTCAAATAGCAGACTGGTTTTGTATTTCACACACTTGGAATAATAACGTGAACTCAGTATTCAGATGTAAGGCCTTTGGCTGAAGTCTTCATACCCCAGGGATGATGGTATGGTGTGTCTGCAATAGCAAAGCCAGGAACAAGGGTTTTGAGAATCATTGGCACATTGTCAGTGTTGAGTTTTGGCTGACGTATCAAGCTGACACTGCTTTATTGTGGGGCTACTTTAATTAGTGTGCTGAGTGAGAACTCCCAAGTTCATGCAGTTGAGTATAATTATGATAATTAGAGCATAGTTTAGAATCTTTTAGATTGACTATAATAGTTGTATTATTACATGTTATTTTTCATAAAACAACTAAGGTATTTCTTAGGTTGTTTGATATCTTTGAATAACAAGTACTCTTTCTAAAAAGATGTGGTAAATTCCTTAATGTGTCTATTCTTACATTAAATTTTGACTGGTATACATTATGTAGTAATAGCCTTTTTTATAAGCTGGACATTTTTTGTTGTTGAGAAAACTGCATCACTCAAATTCACTGAAACAGTTGCAGGGCTACGGAGGAGGGGGTAGGCGGGGAGCAAAAGTAGGGCAGTAGCTTTGGTCTTTCCTTCTGACAAGAGGGAGAAAACAGCTGTGAGTTTTCCTTTGTTCATTTGAAGATTTTGTGTTGGAAGTTTATTATCACTGTAATAACTTTCTTAGTATCTCATTTTAATAATTT